GATCACCTTTCTGTGCTAACAGCACCAGCAGAAATATTCTGCGCTGACCCAGTAAGCGTAGAATCCTTAAGGTTACGGGATGTACGCATGCGCATAAGCCTAACTTCCTCACTAACCCGTGAAATGCGCTTACCGTAAGCAATTTTCTTCTTCCGTAAGCAGGGATTATTCGCTCATGCTAAGCAGGGCCATGAAATTGGGCCCAGGTTTTTAAGCACTTTTCCGCTTTGCAGAAATTGAGCCCAGGACAGAAAACACGACAACATCTACACGTACACACCTGTAAAACCAGCATCACAGACACACACGAAAGCACCGGCTTGGTTCATGCATTGGCCATTACTGGAGCAGGGATTGGAACTGCAAGGTAACGGTGGCGGGATTGTGGTTTCGCAGTCCTGGCCGGTAAAATTCTCGTCGCACACACACATGTACGAGTCACCGGCATTCATACACTGGCCATTTGAGCACGGGCTTGAATCGCAGGGCTGGGGAGGGGGAACGGTGCTATCGCAGTTCTGGCCGATATAGTTCTCGTCGCAGACGCAAAGGTAGGTGTCGGCGTTATCAAAGCACGGCCGGCGACACAAGGATTCGAGTTACACGGCATGGACGGCTGGATGGACTCTCACAATTCTGGCCAGTGAAACCGTCATTGCAGATACAGAGATAAGAGTCTGTGTCATCCAAGCATCGCCATTAATACAAGGATTGGAGTCACATGGTAAAGGCGGCGGAACAGTGCTCTCACAGTTCTGGCCTGTAAAGTTGACACCGCAGATGCAAGTGTACGAATCACCGTTGTTGACACACTGGCCAGTAAAGCAAGGGTTTGAGTTGCATGGTAGGGGCGGTGGAATCGTACTCTCACAGTTTTGGCCAGTGAAGTTTTGGTCGCAATTGCAAATGTATGAATCACCAGCATTCACGCACTGGCCATTAACGCAAGGGTTCGAGTCACAGGGTAGGGCGGTGGAATCGTACTCTCACAATTTTGGCCAGTGAAGTTTTGGTCGCAACGGCAAATGTACGAATCGCCGTTATTGATGCACTGGCCAGAAACACAAGGATTGGAGTCACATGGTAGGGGAGGTGGTATCGTGCTCTCACAGTTTTGGCCGGTGAAGTTTGGTTGCAACGACAGATATACGAGTCAGCATTATTTATGCACTGGCCAGAAACACATGGATTTGAGTCACAAGGTAAAGGTGGTGGGATGGTACTCTCACAATTTTGGCCGGTGAAATTTTGGCCACAAATGCACGTGAACGAATCACCACCGTTCACGCACTGGCCATTTACACAAGGATTCGAGTCACATGGCAGGGGCGGTGGGATGGTAGTCTCACAATTTTGGCCCGTAAAATTTTGGCCACAAATGCATGTGAACGAATCACCAGCATTCACGCACTGGCATTTACACAAGGATTAGAGTCACATGGCAGGGGTGGTGGGATGGTAGTCTCACAATTTTGGCCCGTAAAATTTTGGCCACAAATGCATGTGAACGAATCACCAGCATTCACGCACTGGCCATTAACGCAAGGGTTGGAGTCACAGGGTAGTGGCGGTGGTATAGTACTCTCACAATTTTGGCCGGTAAAATTTTGGCCACATACGCAGGTAAACGAATCGCCACTGTTCACGCACTGGCCATTAACGCAAGGTTTGAGTCACAGGGTAGTGGCGGTGGGATCGTGCTCTCACAGTTTTGGCCGGTAAAGTTCTGATCGCAGCGACAGATGTACGAATCTCCGTTATTCAAGCACTGGCCAGAAACACAAGGGTTTGAGTCACATGGTAGAGGTGGTGGTATTGTACTCTCACAGTTTTGGCCGGTGAAGTTTGGTCGCAACGGCAGATGTACGAATCTCCATTATTCAAACACTGGCCATTGAAACAAGGATTCGAGTCACAAGGTAGGGGTGGAGGTATGGTGGTTTCACAATTTTGGCCGGTGAAGTTTCCCTCACAAACGCAGACGTACGAAGCACCCTCATTTAAACATTGGCCAGTAAAACAAGGATTTGAGTCACATGGCAGGGGCGGTGGATCGTACTTTCACAGTTCTGGCCAGTAAAATTTTGACCACATATGCACATGAATGAATCGCCACTGTTCACGCACTGACCATTAACACAAGGATTTGAGTCGCATGGTAGTGGCGGTGGGATAGTGCTTTCACAATTTTGGCCGGTAAAATTTTCTCCACAAATGCAAGTGTACGAATCACCATTGTTTATGCACTGGCCAGAAACACAAGGGTTTGAGTCACAGGCAAAGGCGGGGGAATGGTCGTTTCACAATTTGGGCCAGTAAGTTGTCATCACAAATACAAGTGTACATATCGACAGTGTTCACACACTGGCCGTTAGCACAAGGATTTTCGTCGCAAGGCAAGGGTGGTGGAATTGTGCTTTCGCAGTTTTGGCCGGTAAAACCTCCATCGCAGATGCACACATATGAATCCGTATTGTCAAAACATTGACCATTCACGCAGGGGCTTGACGCACATGGTAAGGGCGGGGGAACGGTGCTTTCGCAATTTTGTCCGGTGAAGTTTTCCTGACAAACGCAAGTGTACGAATCGCCGTTATTGACACACTGGCCAGAAAAGCAGGGATTTGATTCGCACGGTAGGGGAGGCGGGATAGTGCTTTCGCAGTTTTGGCCTGTAAAGCTTTCGTCACAGATGCAAGAAAAAGCGTCGCCAACGTTGACGCATTGGCCATTTAAGCAGGGGTTGGAATCGCAGGGAAGGGGCGGGGAATGGTGCTTTCACAGTTTTGGCCTGTAACACCAGCGTCACAAATGCAAACGTACGAATCGCCTGAATTTGTGCACTGGCCGCTAAAGCACGGATTAGAATCGCAAGGTAAAGGTGGCGCGACAGTGCTTTCGCAGTTCTGGCGGTAAAACTACCACTACAGACACAAGTGTAAGAATCAACCACGTTCATGCATTGGCCGTTATTAGAGCAAGGGTTAGAGTCGCAAGGCAGTGGTGGAGGGACTGTGCTCTCACAACTCTGACCTGTAAAGCCGTCGTTGCAGATGCAGAAGAACGTGTCGCCAACGTTCTGACAATCACCGTTCAGGCAGGGGTTTGTGTCGCACGGCAGCGGCGGCGCTACCGTGCTCTCGCAGAATTGGCCAGTGATGCCCTGTGGGCAATTGCAGGTGTAGGTGTCGCCGACGTTGATGCAAGTTCCACTGATACAAGCTGGATGTCGCACGGCAAGATTTGCCTTTGGCAATTAACACCAGTGAAGCCGCTAGGGCAGGTGCACGCATAGGAATTCCCTTGATTCCGGCAGACGCCATTGTTAAGACACGGAGAGCTGTCGCAAGGAAGTACCTCAGTCTCACATCGTTCCCCTATGTAATTTGGCATACAGAGGCACTCATACGAGACGTCATTTTGGACGCGGCACAAACCCCATTCAGGCAGGGGCTGCTGTCGCAAGGTGTGACCCTTGTCTCGCAGTTGATGCCGGTGTACATCAGTCCGCAATCGCAGGTGTACTGGTTACCGGTATAGGAACACTGCCCTCCGTTGATGCACGGTTGATTGTCGCAGGGCGTGATCTGGACGTTGCAGTTCAGCCCAGTCCAGCCAGGTTGCAAGCACACCGGTACCCCGTACCAATAATCTGACAGTTACCGTTAACGCAGGGATCCGGTGTGCAAGGGATGTCGTTCTCGCACTGGGTACCGGTGAAACCGGTCTGGCAGACGCAGCGGTAACCCTGCCGCAGGTCGATGCACTGTCCGTTGTTGGCGCAAGGGGGCTCACTGGAGGCGATGCAGGCGTCGATCTCAATCTCGCACATGTCGCCGCTGAAACCGTCCACGCAGAAACACTGGCGTTGTCCGGCGACAAGGGCGGGCAGTTAGCCACGCCAATTTGGCAACAATAGCTGTTGTGTTTGCATGGGTTTGGACTGCATACATCAACGTACTGCGAAAAAGAGGAAGAATCACATCACAATCAATTGACAATACAGTAACAATCAAAATTGTCTTCATTTGCTGGACCTTTAGCAAATTTCATGATTCTACTACATGTAAAAACTGGCATAGAACATATTCGCTAAGCCAAAACAACTTGCCAGCCAAAACGTTCACTGATATGCATTGCTGGTTTATCTGCAGCAAGCATTTTTACGCACCTCATTACACGTATCACCAGCATATCCAAATGCACACTCGCACGTGAAACTGTTCACACCATCAACACAAGTTCCTGCGAAAAAGAAAAGTAGTACCGATAGACAGGGAAAGTCAGGCTCTATTGGAATGAACTCAGTATGAGGGATTATCGAGAAGAGTAAGTAAAAGGAAAACAATGCAATTACTCTTCAAACTGCAAGTATAAGTTGTGTGACACCAAGGGAAGGAGAAAGGGCTGAGAAGTTTAAAGGAATACACAACATTTGCTTTTCCCGTAATTTTCCGAAATGAATGGTTTTGGGTGTTAGTATTTTATAGCAAATACTGTTTCACTGACTTTTTGAAGTTTTGTGTTCGTAGATGCTGGAAAACCAAGAAAATAATCATGTTCCTGTTCTCTGGTTGCCTAACCCCTTTAAGATGAAACAGAACTAAAGATGTCGGGAATTGTAAGGTCAAGGAACCAGTCTAGCTGGATTGCACCTGTTCACGGAATGTAACCAATTGCAAACAAAATGTGGACTGAATATATTTCGTATATAAAATTGGGGGCAGTAGTTGAAACAAAAGTCAGGTTTTTCCAAAGCGTTGGAAATTGATACAAATATACCACTTTTCTTGAAAAAGTCAGCACACAAGGTGCCATGATATTACAGGATGCTTTAGACTGTCATTCACTAACAGTCCAGTAAGGTATTTCATAATAATTTGGTTTTGTTTTTGATGATTGCAAATGTACATTTCCTTTAGAACCCCTCTCTTACTATAAAACAGTGTTTCAAATGTAAATTTGTTATAAAGCCAACAATAAAAACTACACAGGGAAGGCCGTGAAATTCACCTATGTACGTTAGTTCCTACCACGAACAGTGGCAACCAGTGTTAGAGTTTACCATTTCCCAAAACACTCCAGCCAATAAATAATTTTCTCAAGCATGTTACTGTCAGTCACTGTACCCATACCTTGTCCTCCGCAAGGGTTCCCCACGCAGTCATCAACATCGGTTTCACACAACCCCCCTGTGAAACCATCCAGACAAATACAGACGGCGTTCCCAGTCCCTCCGCCCGCCGGCTCGTTGCAGACGGCGCCGTTCTGGCACGGATTGTTCACACAGCGGGACTGCATCTCGCACGTGGTGCCGGCCCAGTTGGTGGTGCATGCGCAGGTGTATCCGTTGACTGCGTCGGTGCAGGTGCCGCTATTCAGACAGGGATTGGACTGGCATTCGTCGATTTCAAGCTGACAATTGTTGCCTGGATTTACAGACACAAAAACACAGAACCAATTTTTATTAAAAAGAAGATGACTTCAAACTTGACAGAATAACAAAACAGAATTTAGGGCAACATTGTATATGCTTACGATACATGTATATGCTTACGATATAAGCAAAGCTTCACCACTACCTGAAGCAAACCCATTCCATGATATGAAATTGAGTCTCCAGTCTAGTGTATACTTAGTGTACTTAAAGGGAAAATACAACATTTGCAAACATCAAAAAATAAAACTACCAAATCATTTTGAAATACCTTGCTGGACTGTTAGTGAATGACAGTGTAAAGCATCCTGTAAAATCATGGCACCTGGTATACTGTCATTTTCAAGAAAAGTGGTATTTTGTATCATTTTCCAACGCTGATCGGCCGATCAGCGTTGGAAAAAACTGGCTTTTTTTCAAATAGTGGCCCCAATTGACCATCGCACTTGTTTGCAATCGATTACAAACCTATGAACGGGTACGAGCCAGCTAGACTGGTTCCCTGACTTTACAATTCCCCAATGTATGTAAACTGCTCTGTCTCTTCTTATATGGAGTCAAGGAACCAGACTACAGGAAAATGATTGTTTTTCTTGGTTTTTATAGCATTTTCGAACCCAAAACCTCAAAAAAGTCAGTGTAACTATATTTGCTATATATTTCCAAACCCCCAATTCCATCCATTTCTGAAAATTACAGCAAAAGCAAATGATGTATATTCCCTTTAACAATTGTTGGCTGCTGTGGTGTGGGCTATGTCATTTGTAGCCCCCTCAGGACACATAGTATTCTGAGGGGGGTTTAAAACTGACAAGACGTCATTATCGTGCCAACAAGTCAAAAAGATTTTAACTTACTTTTCAAAACTAAATTAAATCACCGCACTGACCACTGTGTGCTTTACTGCCAGACAGGAGATTGAGCGGTTGCAGTTCTCTGTTGCAAAGCAGGCGGGCCCTACACATGTACCGCGCACTATATATTCAACACTTTGCATAAGGGGTAATTTTATTCAATATGTGTATGCCAAATACACGGTCATTTTATACACTGGAAACTGGCTATTCCAGACCAATGAAATTAAATGACAATTAGGTTTACAGTCATCGAGGTGGATGCAGACGCGATTCATTATTCTGTGTCCGCTAATGTTCATGAGATAACTAATAATGCATTGAAGCGCCGCTATAATAAACATTGGGGGATCCACAGAAAATCTTCGTAATAGCGATTGTTCGGTATAGGGATTTTAAGCTGCTGGTGCTCCGGTACTCACTTTTCAATAAAAGGCGCCCTTCATAACTTTACCCTGCACACCGTGGTAGTTACTGAAAGATGACTTCGAACACATGCGGCCTATTGAATTATGTAATTACACAGTTTGGTGCTCACTACCTACATCGATGGGTGGCTTTCCCCTTCTATGCCTTGGGGAAATAATAGCCACTGTCGCTCTTCGGTTGACGGTTTTCAACAACAATGTTCAGTTGGTTTTGTACACAAAAATCGGGAGCCAAGGACGATGTTCAGTATAGCCGAATGTTCGGTATAGAGGTGTTCGGTATAGCGATGTTCAACTGTACTTACCTAGGTAGCCAGCAGCACACATGCACTGGTACCCATTGACCAGATCCACGCAGTTTCCTTCATTCTGACACGGTGCACTCTCACACTCGTTCACCTCCTGCTCGCACTGCATGCTGATGAAGCCCGGCAGGCAGGTGCACGTGAACTGGCCCTCACCGGTGTTGAGGCAGAAGCCGCCGTTCTTGCAGGGGTTGGAGGAGCAGACGTCTAGGAAGATGTCGCAGGTCGGGCCGGCGTAGTTGGACGGGCAAGTGCAGCGGTAGCCTGCTATCAGGTCCTGACACTGACCTGTGCAAAAAAATAAAGAGGAGTCACAATTTTCAGATGAACATTTCCACCTTTTGTAACAGACTCACGAAGTCCTGAAGTCTGTGGAGGTGGACCATATGTTGATCTTGAATTGGCCGTTGTGCATGGCCTATTGTACAATTTATGCTCCAGTGCACACCCCGGAGTATTGAAACATATGAGGTTTCGGCAAGAAATATTATACATATACTGTTGAAATTACTCTTGCGAATCAGTATTTGTGGCGTTGGCTGTATATCAGAAGTTGGCAGGAAAATGTTGCCTTTTGCGAAAATCAAAATTTTCGGCAAAAATAATCCCGGTGCGAAGTGGTTAAACACCTTCATCTGAATCTTGCAAGTTCACCTTTTCTTGCTAAGCATAACTGTAATCCTAAGCAAAGCATAAATAAATACCTCCATTCCTGCAGGGATTGCTAACACATTCGTTGATCTGAATCTCGCAGTTGTTCCCGCATAACCTGCTGGACAATTGCACTGGTAGCTCGCAACAAGGTCCACGCAAGCCCCGCCGTTCATGCACGGCCGGCTGACACACTCCTGGATATCCGTCTGGCAACGGTCGCCTTGGAAACCATCCGGGCACGCGCAGACGTAACCATTGACCAAATCGGTGCACGTGCCAGATTGCAAGCATGGATCGCTCGCGCACTCATCTATGTTTACAGCACACAACGGGCCGGCAAATCCTGGTAAGCACCGGCACGTGAAGGCGTTTGCGCCATCGTCGCAGGTGGCACCGTTTCGGCACGGGTCGGACGCGCATTCGTCCGTGTTGGTGTCGCACAGGATCCCCTCAAAGCCTAAGTTGCATTCGCAGGCAAAACCTCCAAACAGATCTTGGCACGCTGCACCGTTCTGGCAGGGTTGTTCGCACACTCATTGATATTATTCTAAACAAAAAAGAAAAAAAAACATGGGGATGACTACAGAAGCTTAAAAGCTAGCAAGAGAAGATATTCAAGTCATTAGTTTTCTTACTGAACTTGTATCCTTTTACGAATGTTCTTGGAAGGCATCAAGTATACAGCCCAGGTGCTTGAAAGTGCTAAATATTTTAAGTGCTCATTGATGTGGCACTATAAATTTTAAGTATTATTTCAGTACTAACACCAGTGCTTCTGTAAACTTTCTTTAACCGCATACACTTGTACTTATTCCCTGATGAATCCCTAACACCACACAGATCCAAGGCAGGTAGGACAGCTTATGGAGTACCAAAGTGAATACGTCACGCGCATAAAAAGTGTGTAAAAGAAAGACATTAGCGTGTGATTCAGCCCCTGAACCAACACACGCGCATACTCCATTTGTTTGCACTACACTTTCTGGTTCTAAATGACGTCACACTTCGTACTCCATAGGATAGGCACAGACTAAAAGCTTGAACAGATAATTCTTTGGTGTTTTTAACAGAAAACTAAAAGGCAAGCTTACCTGGCAGAACAATCCTTCAAATCCTTCCGCACACTCACACGTGTAGCTATTGACACCATCAACACAGATAGCTCCATGTTGACATAAATTCCCCACGCAGTCATTGATGTTGATTTCGCAGTTGTCCCCGCTGAAACCGACCTGGCAAATGCAGTCATAGCCGCCAACCTGGTCCCGGCACGCAGCGCCATTTAAGCAAGGGTTACTGGCGCACTCGAAGAGCTCCGAGTCACAGCGGGTACCGGTGTAGCCCGCGGCACACACGCAGGCGTAGCCGTTACTGCCGTCGACGCAGGTCGCGCCGTTTGCGCAGGGATCACTGACACATTCGTCAATGTTAACCTGACACTGTAGACCTGACATGGGTGACAAAAAAAAAAAAAAATTGGGAATTGCTCCCTAAAAAGTGTGATGCGATTAAGCTAAATGAGTCGTTTGTCGGCAATGATGATTTTAAAATACAGACCAAAATAGGTCAGTAAGGATGGAAATTTCAAAATTGATTTGTTTGTAAAACTGGAAAAGCTACATACACATGTATGTCCTCTTTCATTTCAATTTTTTTTTCTAAGGAAAACTATCGATAAAGTAGTTAAATGTGACATTTTTGCTGAAGAGATGATATTCAATAACCTGAAATAAAGCATGTTTATTGTTGCTTCATAAACACTTCATTTTGAATCGTTGATTTCTCTGTTTGATTTCTCTGTTTTCTTCTTTCTGATCTGCCTGTGTTCTTAGTCCCATAACTTCTGAACGGAAGGTCGTATCCACATGGAGTTTTCACCAAATATAAAATGAAAGATAGCTATTCAAAATTGTAAAAAAAGATTCAAAAATGTAAAAAAAAAAAAATGGGCCCACAAACGACACATTTAGCTTCATTGCATCACAAATCACAAAAGTCACAATGTCAAATCCTAAGATTTTTGTATCATTTACCAACAGTCTCTAGGCATTTCTGTACGTGTCTGACATGTCTGACAAATAGTACAAAAGGTTGTATAATGACTGAAAAACTAAAAGTGTTGTCTAAGTACTATATTTTTTGACAATGCATTGGTATTATAGTATTTGATCAAAACGATGAGGTTCATATGAGAACACATTCACAAAAGGACTCTGACTTGAATCTGAATTCAAGGCTTTTCTCAAAGTCTTTCTTTCAAAATATTGACCGATGAGCATGGTGTGTTTGCTTATGAATATGAATCTGCATTCATAAATACCTAAGACAGTTTAGGCATTCCTATTGGTCGAGAGCCCGTCACGTGGCCGGTCTTAAACGGATGATAAAGACATGGCTAGCTGGTCTTAAACACTTTTCCAGTGTCACAATAAAATGTGGACTCCTAAAAATCCAGTGCCTCTAATCGTTTCATTGGTTAAACGTTCACAATCCTCACGTAGGCATGCGCAACACTACCAGGGAGTCAGAATTTTATAGTTCTAAATTCAAAACGCAACGTGCCTGGTGCGTTCTGCACGACATATACGCGCGCGTCAATCTCCATAAAAGGGTTGTTTACATCTTACTCGCCAGCTGAACACTCCATTGTTTTGCAAGCATGGCAAGAGGGATGTTTCAAAAAGCATGAAGTGAATTTGTTGAACAAAATTGGGATGTTTTGAACGAATTATATGATTTTTTTTTACCGAAAAGGTATTTATGAATGGGAATAAATATGTGCTCCGTCAGTATTTGTCACTCTGTTTAAGACCACTTAGAGTCTGGGTGCTGATAATTACCCTCGCCTCCGGCTGAGGGTAATTATCAGCACCCAGACTCTAAGTGGTCTTAAAAAAGAGTGATAAAAACCGACGGAGCACACATTTATTCCCTTAAAAAAAGGTAACTACATTGTATAGCAAGTGCAAATGGACTCAAGAAAAAGTACATGTAGTCCTAGGTTTGTTCTCACCTCAAATCCTGATGCACAAATGCACATAAACCTCTGCACGCCGTCGAAGCATGTACCCCCGTTTTGACACGGGTTGGATATGCACTGGTCACCGTCCAATTCACAGTTGGTGCCAAACCATTCCGGCCGGCAGACGCATCGGTAAGCCCCAGCCAGGTTTTCACAAGTGCCTTGAGAAGAGTCGAGACAATCAAATTTAGTATTATTATTATACTTATTTTAATTATTTCCGGTATTGAAACCAAGGATTCCTCAAAAGTGCCCTACGCACTGTAGCTCGCAAGCCTGAGGAAACCTGTAGAGAGAAGACAATGAGAAGCAATTATAATTTAGAGGTGGGAGGAAAAGCCCAAAAGAATATTCTGTGGGAAAACCCACGGAATCAGGTATCTGAAAACCAATCCACATATTAGCCCAGGCGGGATTCAAACACGGGTCACAGCGGCGGAAGGGGAGGAAAGTACCACTATGCCAACCTGACTCCCAAAGATATAAAGATAGCAGAGCCAAAAAACAGGCAACACTTTTTCATTACTCTTAGATTATTCCAGGGATATGGACTCTGTGCTCATTTTAACAGCAACTAACAATTTCTTGTGCTGTCATTTCACTGCAAGTCTATTCTTTACAGCAGCCCGATGAAGAGTTTCCACGGGTAATGGTGAGCTTTGCCATAACATTTGAAGGGAATACTGCATGTGAGCTGAGGAAACACACATAGTTTTTGTTAATTATATGTAAGGCCATATCAAAAATGGGCATCCACTGCCAGCTTTAGCAACTCCAACATATTTAGCTGTAATTGTCCCAGACCTGTAAAATAGTACAAGAAGAGCGATTTGGACGTAGCCTAAGTCACAGTGGAACATACCATCATTCAGGCAAGGGTTGCTGCCACACTGATCAATGATGTCTGTTTCACAGTTTGTCCCGCTGAAT